ACATAAATACATACATACATAAATACATACATACATAAATACATACATACATACATACATAAATACATACATACACACATAAATACATACATACATAAATACATACTTACATACATACATACATAAATACATACATAAATACACACACAAATACATACATACACATACACATACATACATACATACATAAATACATACATAATTACATGCATACATACATAAACGCATACATACATACAGACATTCATAAATACATACATACATACATACATAAATACATACATAAATACATACATACATAAATACACACATACTTACATACATACATACATACATAAATACACACATAAATACATACATACATAAATACATACATACATACATAAATACATACATACATACAAAAAATACATACATACATACATAAATAAATACATACATACATACACACATACATACATACATACATAAACACATACATACATACATACATACATAAATACACACATACATACATACTTACATACATACATACATAACTGAAGCACACTTCGATCTCAGAGACGATGGGTAGTGGAAGCTACCATCCTCCAGGAGGCAACCCAGCTGGTCCGGACTGGACGATTGCTCGCCAAGCCCAGAAGAAGCTGACAGCCACCCAGAGCACACGCATCCGCTCATGGAACCAGGCGGCCATCCACTACAAGCAAGGAGACAAGACAAAGGCATGCCCACTCTGCAATGTCCCGGCCACGCCCAAACACATCGTGTGGCTTTGTACTTGGCACCGCAAGCAGGAGCATGAACCGTTGCCTATCCCATGGACTGAGCGCCTCCAAGATCCACTGGAAGAAGATGGATTCCCAAAGGAGCCACAGGACCACCTCAACGGCAGAGCCTGGAACCATTGCCACTCCAATCTTGGCAAGGTTTGTCGGTCACCCTTGACGCCACTCCCACTTCTGGAGACAAGCGAGCCCAAGCATGGGTTTTTGCCCCAAGGACTCGACCGCAAACCAAGGCCAGAGCTTTGTTCCAGGCCTCATCACCTTAGCCCAGTACGTCCTGACACCAGTCAACGTCATTGTCCAGCTGGCATCGGTGTGGGAGGCATGGACCAATCCCCGCAAGAGAAAAGGATTCACTGACCTCGTGCAAGGATCAGTAGGATCACTCCGCTGTACATCAGCAAGAACCAGAGAACTCAAGATGCACCAGGCAGTGAACCCAGCTGTGTCTTTATGACAACCCACCCAATGCTCCAGCACAGCAATGGGCAGACTGGATCTCCAAAACAGAGCAGTACCTTCTTCAGGAACACCCCTGGGCTGCGCAGGGACGGGGTGCAACTTTGCAGGCCATCTACAAGCCTTTAGTGACCACAACACCCACCCAAACATGGCGCAAGGGCCGCCCAGCCTTTTGGGACCAACTTGAAGCAAGATTCCAACTGGCTCTAAAGCAGCCGGCCAACATCCAGCACGGCCCTGTCAAGGGCTACAACACTGGCACGGCCCACCCACGTGGGGACAATTTCTTGATACAGCACATCATTGGCACAAGTACAGAGATCCCCATGCGGCTGATCTCCTGCAACAAACAATGAAGCACCAACTCAAGGAGACGCAACAGCAAGCCAATGATGAGAACATGCTGCAGTACCAAGAATGGCTCAGGAAAGGCCAACAGAAGGGACTCCAAGGCCTATTTCGAGAGCTTAAGAGCAGTGAGCTAGTCCCAGTCCCAGATGACCCACCGCCTGCAGGATTGAGCCGCTCACCATAGGACAGTTGGCCAGAGTGCTCAAAGGCCTACCTGACAAAGCCTGTGGCCCAGATGCTGTCCCAACCCAGCTCCTCAAGGCAGCCCCACCGCTTGCCTTACCAGCTCTGCTCCAGCTTTTCCAAACCATGGAGAATCAGGCCGAGCTCCCCACCCAAATGCAGATGCACATGGTGGTGATGTTGCCAAAAAAACCAGAACATTGAACGGCCGATAACCCTGACATCTACACTCTGGAGAACATGGTGCCGCCTCAGAAAACCGCTCTTGGACCACTGGCAACGACAACTGCCCTCAGCCATGAACCATGACAAGGCAGGACCTGGTGCAAACGTGCTCTACGTTGCACTCGAAAGGATCTTACGACAAGAAGTTCAAAAAGCCAGAGGACAACATGGAGTGACAGTCCTGATGGACATGTCCACTTTCTATGATACCATTGATCTTGATCGTCTTCAACAAGAGGCCCTCCAGCTGGACTACCCTCCGCTTTTGCTTGAACTGGCCATACAGCTCTACACAGGCCCCAAGGCCATCTCTGCAGAGCAAGAGTTCACTCCGTTCTTTCGAGTGGACAGAGGAATCCCTGCAGGTTGCCCACAAGCACCGCTTTTGGCCAAAGCAGTCCTAGCACCAGCACTAATCCCATGGCAACAAGCCCACAAGACAGTGCATCTCTCCAGCTGGGTGGATGACATCGGATATGACACTCATGGTGGCAATCCCATCCAAGTGGCCAAACAAGCTGTGGAAGCCTACCGAAATCTCCATGAAAGATTGGTGCACTTGGGGCTCAAAGTCAACGCCAAGAAGACAGCTTTCCTTGCCACTGACAAGGCTACTGACAAAGCTTTGAAAGAGATCCTGCAACCACATCAACCACAAGTTGCCACGGTGATGCGTGATCTAGGCATCGATCACCAGGCAGCCAGGAGACGAAGAATCCCTGTGATGAAACAGAGGTTCATCAAGGCCGATCAAAGGAAGCTCAAGCTCAGATCGCTCAAGATCCCTGCTTTGAAGGTACGTCTCCGCCTTCACAGAGGAGGTATACAGCGGGTGGCCTTATGGGGCATCGAAGCTCAGGGTTTGGCGCCCAGATACAGGACAACCCTTCGTGCTGCACTGGCCACCCAATTGGGGCATCACCATGGAGGGGCTTTAGATGCCACTTACGACATACACAGCAACAAATACATGGATCCTGGGGATCAAGTGGTCATCCACCACATCAAGGCCCTCCACACACTGTACCATGCATGGCCTCCAGAGCAAATGGCCCACCTGGAGCAGGCCTGGAGCACCGTCCACCAGCACCTGAGCACCAAGGCTCACCCTTGGTATACGGTCAAAGGACCATTGGCCGCCACCATTGCTTGCCTCCGTGAATGGAACTGGCAAGTCAACAACCTTCACCACTGGACACGACCAGCTACGGACTTCATGACCGAGAATGAGATCCACACCCAGCAGCCATGGTGGAAGCTTGAACAGGCTCTAATCCATGAGGCCACTGCACAACGTACACAAAGATTGGCACACCGGCCTCACCACCAACATTTGTTAGCAGGCTTGGACTGGCGCGTGTACCGCAAGATGGTCCGAACACTTCCCCAAGACCACAGAACATACCTCCTCAAGACATGGATTCAGGGTGCAACCCACTATCGCGACCAAGGAAAACCCAAGCTGTGCCCGCTATGTGGAGTTCCAGGTACCCCAAAGCGCATCGTATGGTTGTGCAAATGGCACCAAGGACGCGGCCACAAACCCATGCCGGCAGAGTGGGCCAACCGCATCACCACCCATGATGAAGAGCCCCTATGGAACTCTGGCTGGATCCCACTGGAACCACAAGAACAACGCCAGATCCAGCACCCATACCATGGGCATGGCAACTGGCAAGGCCTTCATGTCCTCCAGCCGCACCAGTACCAAGGTTGGGCATTCACGCTCGACGCAACCCCATCGACCTATGACTACAGAAGTCAGCTCTGGGTGTTTGGGCTGTGCGTTCACACGCTACGCACTGGACAACTCCAAAGACTTGGGGCAATCACAGGGATCCCAGCTAACCCACAGACCAAAACAAGGGCCCTGGTTGCGGGCTTAGCTGCATTGGCCCAGCGCAGCAGTCAAAGTCATTGTGCAGCTGGCCACGGTTTGGGAAATCTGGACCAATCCCAAACATAGACAGACATGTCAGGATCTGCTCCATGACCTGGCCGATGACGACTTCCAACGGGTCACTGTGCTCTATGTAAGCAGAAACACCAGAACACCAGACAATCCAGGCACTGTTAACGGCTTGGGAGAGGGCCAGTTCACTCAAGGATCACAAGGCAACCGAATGGCAGGCTGTTCTCGACCAAGACCATGAGGAGATTTACCGGCATGCTGCAGCACGACTGGCCCAGGTGTTTGCTGACAAACAACACTACATCCACCAAAAAGCTCCCAGGCATCAAGCTCACCAAACGAAACAGCACAAAAAGCAGCTTGTGCATCAATGTCGCAAGCCATGGCAAGCACCATACCATCGATGGCAGCCACACCGCAGCGGCTCAATGCAGTGCCTGTGGAGAGAGGGTACATCAAGCCTTATCGGCCCAAACCATTGAGGAGAAATTGGCTCAACACTGCCTGCAGCTCCAGCTTGAAGAAGAGCACCCGGACCAGCGCAGCCCACACAAGGCCATCCAACAGAAACTAACCAGAGCACAGATCATTGCCAACCTCCTGGCCAAGCAAACAGCTCAGCAGCCAGAGAGTCAGCACACCCTGGAGGAGACCAAAAGTTACCTGAGATGCACTGCCTGTGGCCTCAACGTCCACAAACGAACAAACGAAGCTGCCTTCCTCCACTTTGTTCAAAGCAAGTGTATCAACCAGCTCTATGACCAAAGCCACGACGGGCACACTAGCCACACTCTGTGGCAGAAAGGCGACAAGTTGACATGCCAAACTTGTGGAACACATACTCAGCTCGACGCCCAGCAGAGACCCATCCTCACTGCTGTGTTGAAAACGCAGCGCAAAGGAGCTCCAATTGGCGCATCACCGCCACTCACGGAGATCTTCCGCAGACAAACAGCCCAGGCCAGTCAACCTGGAACCCAAACAACCAGGAGCTCACCAGTCCCGAGCCCGGCTGAAGCCCATGACAAGACCAAGATCCAGGCAGGCCATGAACCCCAGCCACTACAGGATCTACGGGCACCGCCAGGGATTGGTGACAACACCTCACCGATAGTGCCAAGGCAGCTCACCAACACCGCCACAACCAGCTATGACCTCTGAGCTGTCAACTGGAGCAACGCCATGGGCCCCAGGCCATGAACCCCAGCCTCTAGCCCAAAGGCCGCGCCAAGAACCACAGACACCGACAGCAAAAAAGCAGAGATCAGCAGAACAGCCACAAAACTGGCCCGACGTCCCCAATGAGGATATGCAAGAGGAAGACACTTCTGAAAGCAGTCAGGAACCTGACCTTGAGGTGGATTTCTTCTAGCAGGGACCATGTGCACCAGTTGCCCCACTACAACGGCGGCCTGCTGCCTGCTGCTGGCCTGGCCAATGTGCCTACACACGTTCGCCCGAAAAGACAACCCTAGGAGAAAAAAAATGCATGCATACATACGTACATGCATACATACATACATACATACATACATACATACATACAGTACATACAGTACATACATACATACATACATACATACAGTACATACAGTACATACAGTACATACATACATACATACATACATACATTTATACACCCAGACTGTACACATCTAGCCAGTACCTTTTCAAGACTCTCCTTTTCACATGCACTCTTAGTGTATGCCGGACCAAGTTGCGTTCTGCTTCGAAAAGCGATGGGCAAGGGGAGCTCTGACTGCCGCTGGTGGTGTGGCGTGGTGCTTTTGTTTTAGCCTGATCTGTGCCGGCTCTCGTGGCCGCCAACTCGCGAAAAACTTTGGGTAGCAAATACTACAGATACACGTGAATATATACAGATATCTGCATATAAGTGCACACAGTGACGCACACTCAATCCTCAGACCTAAATCTTTTAGCCCTTGCAATGCTGATGAGCGCTTCTTGGCCTTCTGAGGAGTGCCGGCGGAGGCACCTTGAAAAGCAAATATCCTGTTTTCTTAAATTTGATGTTGAGGCTTGTTGGGCTTGCCAGGCCAATTAGGCGTTGTGCTTGATTGTTGGTGGATTGGAACCTGTGACCGCGCTAAAAGACAGAGGGCTGTCGGCAAGTGTGATAAGTCCGAGAGGATTTTAAGTTTGTTATTCTGGGCAAGAGTTTTGTTGTAGGACTACTTGTCATCCCATGTGACCAAATATGGGCTCTTCAAAAAAACTGAAGAGTTGCCATTCACCTTTCGGTGCAGCAGGAACAACACATTACCCTTGGCCCGGACGTATTGGAGGATTGGCATCTACTATGCAACCTACCGGCTGACGAGGCGAGTCACTGGTCCTGCGGCTGTGGTTGCAAAGTTGCAAGCTCCTGCAGTAGGTTTCAGTTTTGGTTGTATTTTCATATCGTTCAACCATGTGTCAGTCCATATAGACTATTGCCGAGCATTCCAAACAACAGTCGCACTACAGTATTGCAGGTAACATCATGCGCCCAACTCCGAAATTTCAATGTCCACCCAGTTGAACTGTTCAGCATTAACTTTGATCCGCAGGGGGTGCTGCAATTGACATTGATCCGCTCTTTGACTCGGATGGTGTTGAGCGGCGGACGAGATCGGAAGTGCCTGGGACGTGGCAAAAGGATGCGAAAAGAGATAGAGATTGGACTTTTGCCATTGGCGTTGACGACTGTGCCACATTGTGGCGCAGTATTGGATGGGTCAAACTACAGGCATTGCATGGTGCATTGGGAGGTTTTTCTGCATGTCCCGCTCGAAAAACTGTCTTCTAAGACTAGGACGCCATCGCCACTTTGGAAGGAGCAAGGGTTCCAAAACAGTGGGCCTCAGTGGTCGCCGGGTCTTCTTTTTGAGTGACCAGATCATCGGCAAAACATCGCCATCGCGCCAAGTTAGGCTGATGCTGTGGGATCTCAATCGGAGTGATGCGGATCAAGACCTGGTTGGACATACGCCGCTAGGACTAATCATGAAGACTCTGTTGCCTCACAAACACATTTGCGAATGGCAACAGAGGTTGAACAAAAATACTAATTAGTAGAATACATATTTCACAAGAGAACATACTAAAGAATCTAGAAGAGATGGGGCAACAATGGGGTGTTCAAGAGTGCGCCATGAGGCAAGCTGTGCGCTGCCTCGCTGTGGACTGGGCGGGGCAAAGGGCCATGAGCGGCAGCGTGGACCGATCCTTGCAGCCACTGGGTGAAATCGGCGAAATGACCGGAAAATAGGGCAAGGATGGGCGGATGTTTAGGGTAAGAACTTAACATGACACTTTGCTCAATAGGCAGAAGATCCAGTTTAAGATGGTGTGCAAAGCAATGTGTTCTAGTGGTATGAATCAAGGCTTTGGGATTTGGTGATGTGCCATTGTGTGCTGGAACTGCAACTTGGCTCCGAAAATTGGAGACTCGAGACAGTTTTGTAGCGCTATTGCATGAGGCCGCCTTAAACGTTTGCGGTGCAGTACCGCGCTTGTTTGTGAAGTAACGTTGCTGGAACCAACAAGAGCGCTTTTATCTTCACTGATTCGGCCTTTGATGCCGCGACCTCAAACCATGTTAATGCATGTTAAAGCGACAATGCTTTCTTTGAACAGCTTTTCGCTGGAACCTTGCGTAGCTGCAGATTCCCCAATTGTGAGGCGAGGTCACACCGACACCGCAACATGGGCTGCAGAAGTTGAAACGTTGGAGCCGTAAGAAACGCCCTTTTCTGCAATTCAATAGACTTCAGCGTTGAGGTTGGCCAGCAAAGGTTATATCATTTACACAGGCCACTCACTGCCAGTTTCAGGTAACCTGCCTTTCAGTGCATTGGGAGAGCAACATTGCATTGAGTGCAGGGCTGGACCAGACTTTGTTGCCACTTGGCATGTCCGTGACTTGTTCGCTGGCTAATTTTAAACATGGACTTGCAGACCCCTTTGCGGAGGCTGTGGGACTTGGATGTGGGTGAAGTCATGAAGGAGCTGATGGAAGCTTTCGCTGAAATATTCAATGAGGGGAACAATGTGACATATCACATTGTGGAAGGTCATGTCGTTTTTTGATTCAGATGCTTTAGTCAAGCTAAGGACCACGCAAGCCCAACCGTTTGCCTGGAGGTTGATTGGATTGGGCGACAGGCAGGGAAGGTCGGCGGAACTACTGTATACGGAACTTCAATGAACTCCATATGTTGGTATTTATCTCCAAACAGCTGATTTTTCAGTATTTTTCAGTTTTTCCTTATTCTTGTAGTGTAGTGAAACATGCTCTACTGGTACCCCTTGTTTTAAGAAAGGCTTTGGTTTGGAATGACTCTTCCGATCTCTTCCGCCTTCTTGCTGCTCACAAGAACCCTTTCAATCGTACGTACCAGAGGCATTGTTGCAAGAAGGACTCAGCACACGGAGGCCTTGCTGATCGCTGCAGATGGCGCGATGCGCCATTGGGATCTGAGCCAGGACCGCGCTGAAGGCTGCGGCCGGCAGGATATCCAACGGATGTTTGCCACTGGGTTCTGGTCTTGAGATTTTGGGCGACGGCTGTCTACTATTCTTTTAGCCTGAGGCCTCGCCTCCCTACTTAAGGAAGTAAGGTGACTAGTTCACTACTAGGCCAAGCTACTGGAATCAGGATAGCTCACGCCGACGCTTCCTTGAGGAAGCGCTCGCACTAGTGAGTTGGTTCCTAGTTTTTTAGGAATCTTGAATCTTGACCAATCGAACTTGTCCTTCATTGACGGGGTGTGGCAATTTGTCACATGCTTGCGTCGCTGCGTCATGGAGACTGCCCGCTGCATTTTAAAACCAAAACCAAAACTGTATTTGATTGAAGACAATCTTGTGGTAGCCACCCACTGGTCAGGGTCCACTTGGATGAGATACCTCTTCTCGCTAAACTCAAACTTGTCACGTCTCGTACAATCTGAGGTGAATTGGAGCAATTTGCAGGCAATTACTGGCTGCAGTGATGGTGAGGTGCTGCTGTGGGACCTTTGCCCATTCCAGGTGCGTCTGCTTTTTCGGAGCGGGAACAATGCCAGCAACACTACGTTGAAGTGTGGCAATTGCGTGTTTCGCTGATGGTGCCGTTGCAGCTCAGTGCTCCTTTTGAGCAATGCATCATCATCATCATCATCATCATCATCATCATCATCATCATCGTCAAAAGAGTAGTTGGCCTTGTTGTTTGCACGGTGAGAAGGAGTACCGTAGAGGATGTTGGGGAAGCGTAAGTACAAACATAAGAAGAGCAGCACTTTTTTCTGACATACGTGAGTCGTTTTCAAAACCACTGTCATTTACTTTATAGAAGAGTGTTTCATCAAAAACTGTGAATTTGAGTTTTCTTGGAGAACATACGGGACGTCCAAAAAACTGATACCCCCTAATTGATTTACGTATCAATTTGCAGTGTATATATATATATATCTTTGGATGTTGATGTGTCAACCCTGCAACACGATGCCTGCAGTGTCCATGTGCCAAGGGCTGCAAAACGATACTGGATGTCAAACCTTGGAATTAATGCACCTTAATCTTATAAGTTAGAAAACAGCTGACATGCAAAACAAACAGACGTGTGGCTGTGTAGGCTAAGGAGACAGATCCTGACATGAACAAGGATGTACCAACTATACCAACTAGAAACAAGTGCATCGCTACTAGTAGCTTCTTGTTACTAGCCACTAGTAGCTTCTTGCTACTAGTAGCGATGCACCTTGCTACTGGTAGCGTCCTTGTCACTAGTATATATATATATATGAGGGGTGACCATGGCTGTGACGCTTCCAGGTTTTGAGGAGCTGCGTACCGCCAGGGAGCAAAACGTCTTGCATGTCACTTGACAGCTGATCTAAGAGATTCAAGGCAATGCTTGCATTGCGATACGCTGGTGAATACTGAGCCAGTGGTATTGGGGTCTATGGTCTAAGTATGTGTGTAATTAATTCAGTTGGGTTGCCAGAGGCAGCTTGAGCTTCAGCTGCCATTGCCGCTCCGTATGTCCAAACTGACTCCTGAGTGGCGAGGTCAGCAAGCCCAGATCTCTTGGAGGTTGCACTTGGTTCTGGGAGCACGCTATGCCTTTGGAGCCAAATCCTCAGAAAGCTTTCAGGTAGTACCTGGTGTAGTGGTGACTGATTACATGACTCAGGAGTCAGACAGTCAAGACCTTTGTCCCATTTTGTGCATTGGTCCAGTAAGTTGCGTCCACCCACCTTCAGATTTCATTGTAGACCAGTAGACCAGTGATGCCAAACGTGCACGTACCTTTGGTTCTCACATCGGAGCAATGTGTTGTTTTGTGTCTTTTTCCGGAAGGACGTGGTTGCCTTAAGGTTCCCAATTTGAGAGGAAACCAGCCATCAAAGCTTTGGATGCTGAATGCAACTCGTCATGCATGAATCTGTCATTGCTTTTGGCGTATCACACCGTATCACTATTTTTACAAATTTGTGAGAACGCACTTGACAATGAGATTCGAGATCCGAGATTCGAGCTTCGAGATCCGAGATTCGACATCGGAGATTTGAGATTCGAGATCCGAGATTCGAGATCCGAGATCCGAGATTCGAGATAGAGTCGAAATTCGAGAACCGAGAGTTGAGATATCCGAGATTCGAGATCCGAGATTCGAGATCCGAGATTCGAGATCCGATATCCGATATCCGAGATTCGAGATCCGAGATCCGAGATCCGAGATTCGAGATTCGAGATCCGAGATCCGAGATTCGAGATCCGAGATTCGAGATCCGAGATTCGAGATCCGAGATTCGAGATCCGAGAGTCGAGATTCGAGATTCGAGATCTGACATCCTTACGTTGCACTTTCCGAGCGCAGATGTCTCGCATTGTCTCGCGCTCTGCCACGCTCATGGACGCAGATGCCTCCGTCCGCGTGTGCTTCTGGAATGGCTCGAAAACCCGGAAAGAGATCCCACCAGCTGTCACTAGCACTGTCACATAATGCAGTCACCGAACACCGAAACCAAACGATGTCTCGTGTGTGGCACTTCTGGAGCCAGCATCTTTCGCCTTGTGTCTAGCTTTGCCGCGCTCTGGATGCAGAAACCTGAGTCTGCGGATGCTTTTGTGGGGAGGCATCGGGAGCCCAAAGATCCAACCCAGCTGTCACTAGCACCCCTCACATGATGCAGCCACTGAGCACTGAATCCAATCGGTGTCTTGCGTGTTGCACTTTTGGGGCAGAAATGTCTCACATGTTGCCGTTGCACTTCCGGGCAGAGAGATGCATCGCATGTTGCACTCTCGGGGCAGAGATGTCTCGCATGTTGCGCTGCCGAGGCGGAGATGTCGCACATGTTACACTTCTGCGGGCAGAGCTGTCTCGCCTTCTGTCTCGCTTTGCCGTGCTTGGCGTGCGCGGATGCTTTCCCGCAAAGGCTCGGGAACCTAACAACCCAAGCGGCTGTATGGTCGTCGCTTTCAGTCTTTACACCATTCAGTCGCTGGCCATTGTGAATCCAACCACTTCCCTTACACCCATATTGAACATGCACATTCTACATGTCTGGCTGCCACATGAGAGAGAGTAAAAATCATCCGGTGACACATTGTCTCTTCCACCACATGCGTAATCGTGGCCTTTCCATTTCTCGTGTAGCGTGTGAGAACACCAGCAAGATGTGGAAAGTTAAAGCAGCCCAACAGCCAAATTATATACAAGTTCAAAAACATGCAAAAAACAACAGATGATCTTGATGGGAGCGCGCTCACCATTGAAGCACAGGTCCTCATTCGCCTATATGGGATCAGAGTGCAGGAGGTCTTCGCCGGCTCAGGCAGTCTTCATAGTGCGATCCAAACATAGTCCTGCGTGGCATCGGACACGCCCATCAAGTCATTGATGCGTCCTTCATATGGTCGTACTGGCGCAGCTTCCTCTCCAGGGTTCACCTCCGCCGAGGGGTGAGTCTGGCCATGATCCTAGCCTCATCCCTGGGATTCATGCGCCTGTCCTCGTCACTGGTGATGTCCTTCCTCTTCGCCCCCGCCTTGGAATGGGGATGCGTGCTGGAACACGCTCTCTCCAATGCTGCCGCAGCGATGTCCACGAAGAAGCCCAAAACCTTCCTGGAACTCTGAGGCATCTGCGCTGCCACACCGGTTTGTGCCTGCGTTGTGTGGGATCTCCCCTTCTCGGCCATCACTTTCTTGAATCACCTCCAGCGCCTGGGCCACTTCGATCGTATCCCAGCCTGCGTAACCTTGTGGGGTAATTACACCTGGGCACGTCGAGTACGAGGGACACCAGGTAGGTCTGAGTCGCCTTTGACATTCATGTGGCGATGGTGTCCTTGACAGCGGCGAGAGAGAAGCAAGGCATGAAAGTAGAGGCCAGGGGAGACAAGGTTCCACTGACCCTTCTTGTATCTCATCTCTGGCCTGCCCGTCGGCGCTGAGCGCCTTCGCGCAAGTGGGTGGGCGCGATGAGCGCTCCAGACGATTGCTGTAGACGTTGTACAGCAGGCTGGTCTCAAATCTTGGGATATCTTCCCGAGGGCATGGATGACTCCAGGATGAACTCCTTGTCGTGGGCATAGAGGGACTCGCGCGTGCGGCAGAAGTGGTCACGGCGATCTCGTTTGCGTAGTGGATCTCCGAACAGCTCGACCGAAGCAGCTTCTGAAGCTTCTCCCGGCCGACTCAGCACCCCGCCGGCCGACTCGCGCAAACAAAATCGAGGTCCGAGATCCGAGATTCGAGATTTCTGCGCGGTACCGGTGACCACTGTCACGTTCGATCTCACATCATTTGTTGTGTTCTTCAGAATTCATGCGACCATGCAAATGCGTGCAACTATACCCCCCTACCAAAAGATGGCACAAGTAAAAGTGCTCCATATGCTACTTTTTCCTGCGGAGCGGCATATGAAAGGGCTTCTGACCGTATAGATGGCACATTGTGAGGAGCCATCATATACACTCAGATGTGTTTTTTGTGTGTGCCATCGTATATGCATTGAATTTGCGATATGAATCATGATGTATATAGGCATGACACACCGAGCCCATTGATGGCATGTGGGAGACATAGCAGGTTCAAATCAAAGAGGAATCAGAGGATATATAAGAGGGGTGGCGCAGGTGGGAGAGCTGGGATGATTGGAGCCGCTAAGATGGTGATAAAACGGGAGACTGTGAAGGGGGTAGTGACAAGAGAGAAAAGGAAAGAGGAAGAGAAAAGAAGGAGAGGGAAAGGATATTTCAGAGTTGGGGTGGGGCAGGTGGGAGAGCTGGGATGACTAAGATGGCACATGCCAGGTGATGAGAGGGGAGGCTGTCAGGGGGGAAGGGAGAAAACCAATGAAAGAAGATATAGCAGGTTCAAATGCAAGAGGAACCAGAAGAGAGGAAAGAACAAGGCAAGGAAAAGAAATAGGACAGATATACAGGAAGAAAGAGGGAC